GTGCAATTCTGCAATTCCATGTCCTGCTCTTGATGCCGTGTCCATCTGACCTTGGCGGTATCTTTGTGGTGAGAGTTGGTATTTGGGTGGATTTGATTGTTCCATGTGTGCCAGGGATGGGTGAATAAACAACCAGAGCCCTGGACATTTGCAGCCTCATCACTGAGGTAATTTTGTGGCTCTGATTGTGCTGTGGTTTGCGGTGTCTTGTGAAGGCTGGGACTCTGTTCTGTGCCACTGGATGTCCATCAGTCATTGTGTCACCCAGGAACGCTGAGGGAGCTGCTGATGTCCTGAGGCAGTCACTCTGCAATAACCTGGCAGAATTCCGGTGCCTTTGAGCGCTTCCTAATGAATTAAAGACAGCTTTTGGCCTTGAATGGGATCAAGGGAGAGGATCCGGCAAAGCCGAGGCTGTTCAGGCTGAACTTGTTCCATTTGTCAGGTCCGTTTGGATTTCTGCAATCTTCACTGTCATTTAATGTGTATTCCTTGACCTCATTCATGAATCTTATAAACAAACAAGCAGCCAGCGTTTGCTCAGGCTGGTCTGTGATGTCAATTCTCTTATTCCGCATTCAAGCCACAAGGTTTCATAATTTAAAACCTCTAAGTCTTAATATTTTCTTCCTGTTAGCAGAAGCTAATTGTTACTAATGGACGATCAGTGAGCTCCTCCTCCCTCCTGTGTCATGGTGCTGGCGTTCTTTTTTGGAATTCTGAGATTCTGAGCCACTTTGTTAAAGGTCTTGTCCATCTGACTTTGATGGCAATATTTAAATGCAAGTATTAGAGGTTAAATGCTGGTGTTGTTGGCCTTGTCAGGGCGAGGTGAAGATGTGACCAAAGCCACCTCGTCAGTGAGGTCACCCCAGGGCACTCATGTTCTGTAGTTTGTGGGTTCATTGTGAAGATGAGCCCCAAACCATCACGACTCTCTCAGGCTGGTCTGGGCTTTGCAGGAGCTCTGCTTCTGAGAGTCTGCTCCTTTCACCCCATTGTTTCCATCCCCACCGTGCTGCCATCTCTCCCGGTGTTTTTGTACACCAGACCTTTCCGGCTGCAGATGGGAAAGCAATCCTGTTGTTTAGGGAGGATCCCATGCTGCCCTAAGTTTCGTGTTGGTTCATCCATGGCACTCATCTCATCTGGGCTCAGCAAGGTCACACGGTGGGGTCACAGTGCTGAGATCTGCCTGACACATGGAAAGGGAAAATGGTGAAGGATGTGGAAAGCAAAACATGTGAGGAGAGCTATTCCTCAACCTTTGATTAATCCACGTATCCTTTGGCCACGTATCCTTTGCTGCAAAAAACTCCAGCAGTCACCAGGACAGGATTAGGAAAATAAATACAAGCAGCTTGAGGGCAGTGTCCATCCTTTCAGCCACCACTGCTGGGACTCCACAGTGGAATATGGACATGGACATGGTTGACCAAGAGCAGCACAGGGAGACCGAGACAATGATGGAACTGGAGCACCCTTAAAATGAGGTGAAACTAAGGACCTGGAATTTCAGGCAGGAGACAAAATTCAATTGGGAGATGTTGTCAATATGCCATGGCAGGACCTAGTGCTAAATCCCCAGTTCTCCAAAGCATTTGTTGAACCCTCTGCATGTCCCGACACTTGCTATCAACAACAAGACATTGGTTGTTAATTCTCTCAGCTAAGAGGTTATGCCAAGGTCAGATGGACACGGCCTCAGGGGAAAGAACACGGAATTGCAGAGTTGCAGGAAAGAAAACACTCCCCAACTCATGACTCACCAGGTTGGGCAAGGCAAGAGCTGCTTCCTAAAAACGCCCCAAGGCCATGGGACGAGGCTGTCCCGCCCCTCCAGACCAGCATAAAAGCCAGCCCAGAGCCTCTCTCCCTCACACACTTCTCCTGATTCCTTCTCCTGTGAAGAAAGC